AGCACACACCAAGCGTGCACCGAGTGCAAGCATGCACCAACGGTGCACCAAGCGTGCACCAAGCATGCAGCAAGAGTGCAAGCATACAAGCGTGCACAGCAAGCATGCACCACGTGCAAGTGTGTACCAAGCGAGCACCAAGAGTCGAAGCATGCGCCAGGTGTGCAAGCGCGTGCACCAAGTGTGCAAGGGAGCAGCAAGCGCGTGGCAAGCATGCGCCAAGTGTGCAAGCGCGTGGCAAGCCGCACGCAGCGGCCGGCGCGCTGCACGCAGGAGGCCGCAGAGCAGCTCGCTGCAGCAGCGCCCGGGTCCGCTGCAGCTCCGCGCCGCTTCCCGCTAAGCCGTGACCGCTGCAGATCGAGGTCGCTGGTGTCTTAGCGCTAATCGGGGCTCTAATCCCGGGGCCGCAGCCTCCCAGATGGCCCCAGGCCGGAGCAGCGCCCGGGTGGCAGACGGGGCGCGCGGTGACGCGGCCGGATCCCGCACTGGGATAACAAGCGCTCCCCTGGCGTGCACGGATGCTCCGGAGCTGCTGCTCCCCATGCAGGAGATGCGGAAGCAGTGGTGGCTCCATGCGGATCCCACGTGCAGYCTCTGGTCTCCAGACGCAGCCATCCACACTGTAAAAAATAATAATTTAAAAAAAAAAAGCCAAAAAAAGAAGTTATGGGGTATTTTTGTGCATCTCCAAGTAGACTTAATTATGGAGCAGGAGCCATGTATCTGCTTCTTTCCTCCCAAAGAGGCTTTTCTGGGAATGCTCCGGCTCCCTGCAGATGCTGCCGCCTCCGGAGGGGCTTTGCGGGGCTCCGAGGGCTGCTCCGGCCGGGAACGGCAAGGCCGGCTCAAAGCCGGGCACTAGGACCACGCTCTTCCCCTTCCCAATCCTGCAGCCGGCGCCGGGACAGGGTACGTYCCTTGTGCTCCTACCCGCAGGGAAGCGCAGCGGAGCCCTGGCTTCTTCTTTGAGCTCCTCACACTCCACACGGAATTTTATCTTCTCCTTCCCGGTTCTCTCCCGTGGCTTCTGCTCGGGGGCGGACTGCGTGCCCGGCGCCAGGCCCGGCTCCCCGCTCCAGCCGCCGCCTCCGCCGCTCCGGCTCCTCCAAAGAAGAGGCAGAGCCAAGAGTTTGTCCATTTGTTTATTGTCATTCAAATACTAAAAATCCCTCACAACAAAGCGTACAGTTCCCGAGCTCGGACCCCTCCTCCCGTGAGGCTGACTGGCAGGTTTTCCTGGGAATTCCTTTTTTTTTTTTTTAATTTTTTTGTTTTATTTATCAAAGATTTAGAGTCACAATAAATAGAGTGACAAAACATACCCTGCGCTGGCGTAACGTTACTCTGTTACACTCTCTTAGATGATTATAAAGTTTTTTTTCTTCTTTTCTTTAAAAAAAAGCACAATGCAAGTTATTTTGCTAAATGCAATACACAGCCTAACTCTGCCTTAAGCAGACAAACACTACTGCGGTTCCTTGAGGTCTTTTCGCATTATATATATATATATATATATATTTATATATATATTCTTATATATATATCTATATATATATATTTATACATTATTAAAAATGCCTTCTGTGCCCCCTCCTTCCAAAAGGAGACGGTGACAAATGAGCCGAATAGGGTTTTTGGTGAGACCTGTCTAAACCTTCCCTGTTTGCTACACCCCAACCCCCCCCCTTGCAATTCTTCACTGTACTTTGGTAAAAATCTCCTCTTAGTACGCAAAAACGGGATAACTAGGTCTGAAGTCAGAGGTAAAAGGAGGGTTCCTAAAACAATTAAAGTATCTATAGGAAAAAAAGAAAAAAAAAAAAGTCTATCTTGAATTTAAGATTAACCARAAGTCTTCTTCAATATTACACCTGGAATGCCATTCACAGGAATCCCTAGAATACAAAAATTAGCAAAATCACACTTTACATGAACTGGAAAAGCTGTCAAAGTTGACTGCACTATAAAAATAAACGGTTCAACCAGGCCACTTTTCACGTTTCTGAGCCGCGAGCCGTCGCCCGGCCCGTGCTCCGAAACCAAGCAGATAATAAATTAGGTTATAAAAAAATAAAATTAAAAAAAAAAAAAAAAAAAAAGAACCACACGGCTCCCAGATTGCAACACTGGTTTCCAATGAAAATCAGGGGTTTATTTCACAAGTTGCTAAAATCTAAGTACAATAGTCATTGTCATTATTACTGTATTATAAAACCTTGTGGTCGCAACGTCTCCAAGGAGGGTTCTATGGCTTGCAAGGCCCCGCGCTGCCGCAGCGCTCTCGCCAGGAGAGGGGCCGCGGGGGCTCCGGGAGCTCCGGGCGGCTCCGGGGGGCTCCGGGGGGCTCCGGGCGGCACGTGCAGCAGGGCGCACGGAGCAGCGCAGGGCCGGGACGCCGCGGTCGCCACCTGAACGATGCCCGCGGTCGCGCTCCGCYGGCGCGGCGCCTTCAGTCTCTCGCTCCCACGGAGCTGCAGGGAGAGGGTCCCGTTTTCCAGGCGAGGCCGCGTCCTCCAGGGCCTCCCCCGGCAGCAGGAATTAGTAGCCCTTAAGGCGGCGGGAGTCTCCAAGGGGGACAGGAGCGTGAAGAGAAGCGGGATTTGGTGCCGGCCGCCTCCGCGCGCCCCGAGGCTCCGGCCGCGGCTGCGCCCGCCTCGCGGCCGTCGCTCCTCGGGGCTTGGAGGGRGGTTTTGCAAGGAAAGGGAGCGGATGAAGGGCGAGAGAGAAGAGTGGGAAAGACTGGAGCAAGTGTTTGGACAACTACGCTAAGCCTAACATATGACAYGTTAACTAGCCCCGTGAAACGCTACCCAAGTGCCTACGCAGCTCCGGCTAGGAAGGATGGAGCGGTTCCTCCGCAACAACGCGGGTCACGGCCCCTCGCTCTGCTCCTGGCGCGCTTACCCAACCTCTGCAGAAACGCAGCRGCAATAAATATATACTCTACGTTACCTGCAACACTCCACGGAGCAGCATTAAAAGCAGTGCCAAGACGCTTTGGGACCCCGACAGCGTAAAACCCACCTTGGATTTCATGTTGGTTTGAAGCCTGCGAGACAATTGTGCCCCCAAACACGTGGATTTGGGTTGTGGGGGGTTATTGGAGGCTGAATGACAACAAGCCCAGGTCGGGGGGCTGCGGGATTTTCAAGGGGGCAGCGCAGACTCGCTCTTCTTTCCACGTCTGGATCTTAAAACGACAAACGGCCCCTCTCCGCTGAGCTGAAATCCAAGGGCAGACGGTGCCCTACTGAGCTGCTGGCTCCCAAAGAGGTTTTGACACAGCTTTTAAACCAGGCGACTTTAGCACTTCGGTCCCTCCTTCCAGTCCCCTCTTCCCAGCATCAGCTGCAGCCAAAACTTCTTCAGTACTGGAAGGAAATTGCTAAATTGTCCAGGTTTCCCCAAAATGACTTTGAATTTTAATTGAGAATTTTTTTAAACAAATGCACTTTCCCCAGGTCATTCAATAGTACTAGACATTTGTATCAGAGATGCAATAATGCAGGTATTTGTCAAAAGAGAGAAAACCAAGCAAAACAAGGAAAACCTTCACACGTTTAAGGAACTGAAACATTTTCATAGTATTTCAAAGTGCAAAAATAAAATGCACTCAATTTCTCTCTCCACATCTCCCAGTCCAAAATAGCTTGGAATGAAAAGAAAAATTCAAAAACTCAAACTAATTCCTCTCATCCCCATTTAGCTCTTAATTTACATTTGTAAAACAAACAAACAAACAAAAAAAAAAMMCAGTCAAATTGAAATTCTAGGGCTTTATACAGCAACAAACACCATTTTGCAAAACTAGTTTTTCTAGACTACCCAACAGTTTTCAAGAGCATCTAAATACTGAAATTCACACAACAGAATAGGGGCTAAAACGAACGTGAGTTTTCTTTTTCCACTATGCAATAGTTAGATCTTAAGAGGGATGACCCTATACGGTAACTGATTTAAAGTGAGATCTAATTGCAATTGCTAAGAAAATAGATTCAGCATAGACTGAATAGTAACCCCTCCCCCCTTTTCTTTTATATATAGATATATAGATATATATATATTTCTTCCTTTGCAAATAATTCTTATCAGCACTACTTCTAGCACTGATATGCAACCTAAGTAGTAAGGCATGTATTTCTGCCACTTGAATTCAACTTTAATTGGGGAGAAGCAACAGGGAAAAAGGAGAGAAGACGACGAGAAGAAAAACTGGACCTGATCAACTTGGGATTTAAACCTGCGSAATCCCCCAAATATATTAAACCCACAGAGAAACCTGTCCTTAAAGCAGGGCTGCCTAAAGCTCTATCCAAACTGAAGCGTGGAAGGGACGGGGCAGAGGAGCATGCGTGGAACGCTTGGAAGAACGGAATTTCAGAGGGATCGAGGTGCCCGAAACCAGCCCAGCAGGTGGTGGCAGAGCCACCGCGAGCCGCTGCTCGGCGGGACACGGGGACAGGGCAAAGAACCCGTTACCTGAGCGCAGCCTCCCAGGCCTCCGCTCCCTCCGCTCGCCCCTTCGACCGCACGCGGCTGCTGGAATTCCTAGGTTCTGAGTAGGATTTCTCAAAACAACAACAGCAACAACAACAAAAACTGCCCCCCAAAAAAGGAAAAAGTTTTACTCTTAAGTCTCCGGGAACATATGAAAGGCCCAACTGCTCTTCGCTGAATTAGAAAGACTGAACAAAGGTGGTTGTCTATTCGGTAAGTTTGATTTTGCACTACCAAAAAGTTCCAAAAGTCTATTCAAAACAGAATCCAACAAAAGTGAGAGACTCCTGCACTGGCTCCCACCTACCAGACAAGTTTTGGTGGCAGCCAGTCCCTTAGAAAAACCAGACTCAACTGGAATTGGAGTTTGTACTTATTTATCGTTAGCTCATCATCAGATGATTTGGAGACATTATAATCTGGAGGCTGCCTCCCTGGGTTGAGGAGGGGCCGGGAAGGGAAGCAGACATGAATCCGGCTCGCTAAACGCATCTGCAGCATCAGGCTGAGATTCCTCTTTCCCGGAGCTGCCGTGCACGCCTGAGCGCGCGCGGACGCCGCGCTCTCGCTGAACGGGGAGTTATTAATAAAGAAACCGAAGGCAGAGAGTCATTAGTCCTCCTTTTGTGCTGGTGACAAAAAAACTAAATGCATAAAGCCCCCAAAATTATGAATTCTTCCCCTTCCCTGACAGCCTTCATCATCAATCAATCATAAGGATCTCATAACCAAATGAGCTCAAGTCTTTCCCACCCACGTGGTGTCATTTGCTCACAGCGGGGACAGCAGCACTCGATGGGATGAGGAGTGGTCTTCTTGCATCCTATGAAGCCTGGGGCGTATCCAGCTGGGATTAAAGCAGATTCCACTGTAATGTGGTATAAAAAGGATGGCAGAAAGAGACTAAGTCTTCCTCTTGGGAATTCCTCTGCATTATTTCCACGTGGCAGACTGTGGGATGGACCGTGGGGGAATCATATCCAGGAGATATTCGCGCTGGCGGTCTACTGCTGAAGACGACTTGTGCACAGCTAAACTAGGATTAACAAAAGGTAAAGCCCCACCTGACAGAATAGAAAAGAGAGCAGAACAAGCATCACAATACAGGAAAAGCGTGAAGAAAAAACAGAAACAAACAAATAACAAAAAAAAAACCCAATCACAAGGTAAAATTAGAAGTTAAAATTCCATAAATAAGGTTTGTATCAAAGCAACTGCTTTAGTTAGCAGTTCAAATAATGAGAAATTCTAGGCATTCGTACTGTACTTTACCTAAAGCAAGATCTATTGTATGTTGATTACAGCAAAGAGAAATTAAACGATCAAAATTAAACGACTGAATTAAATGACAAACTCCTGCAGTGCAGTGCTGACTGTGCAGGGTGCTGAACAGTTCAGTACCACGTTAAATCTATATGCAACAGTGTAAAGCAGCGTTGGTTTTAAATGGCAGCACTTCATCACTTCTGATGTACATAAACTACACCAAGAGCAGGTGCAAAGAAGAATATTAACCAGGGAACACCAGGTTTAACCCTTGGTATCCCCAGGTTTTCATGCAGGAAGTGTCAAAGAGAAAGCATTCTTACCCAAAGAACTATGATTGTTGGATAGAGTGCAGCTAGTAAGCACAAAGAAAAGGAACTTTAGAGAAAAATCTACCTGTATTGATGGAAGTCTTCTTCCAGGTGGCAGCGCTGCCCTTGCTGACAGGTCTCTCAGCATGCTTACCTGGCCTGCTCCCAAGTGCTGCTGCAGACGATGCATTCTGCAACTTGGGTGACTGGCTAAACGCATGCAACACTCCTCGCGGGGCTCCCGCACCTCGAGACATCTGGCTAGAAGTCTGCCGAGAGAGCACAGGGCTGCGTGGGCACAACAGCTTTGCTTCGCTTTCCACCAGCCCTGAGGAACCCTCACTGCATTTCCCTTTCCTGCTGCCTACATCTGGAACGGGGTGTTAGTCTCAGGGCTGACAGCTTCAGGATCTCTGTACTGAAGTAAGAACTGGCTTTATGCTTCTGGAAGTGTCAGTAAGACGGGAGAGTTAGTCAAGTGCAAAGCAGCACAGAGGAGCTGTGTAGGCATCTCCACACACAGACCAACACTCCCTCTCTGTCAGCATCAGTGCACCCTGATTATTTCACCAGCCTAAAGATCCGGGCTCTGAGGCCACGGCTATTATCCATTACCCTGAAACTTCACAAAAAAAGTTAGGCGTTCCTGGCTCAAGTGAGGTATTTCTCCCTCTTAGGCATTTGCATTGGAGCAAAATTTGCCATTTAGTACATCCCAAAATAAGTTCAGGACAATGTTTTGTGAGATGAGAGCTAAAAACCCCAGGATAATCACAGTGACTCTGCAGAAAGAGCACCACCAACTTCCACCCTTCAGGTCCCCAGAAGACAGTTTACAGGTCACCAGGACACMACAGAACATTTTAAACAGCCCCGTTTTGAGCTCAAACTCTAACTGTGGAGCTCAAAGAGAACACGAAACTCGAGCAGCAGCTTCCCATGTGTGCACCAGACAGCACTGGGACGCAGCTCCCCATGGTCAGATCCGTACCTGCTTGAGCGAGTGGTGCTGCACGATGGGCTCCGCCTTGCTCTGCACGGGCGACGCCGTCTGCTGCAGTATCCTCTGCTCGATCTCCTGCTCCTGCTGCAGGGCTTTCACAAAGGCAGCCTTCAGCCGGTTCGTGTGCTCCGCTTTCAAGGCCTTTTTCTGGTTGGAGGTCATGCAGGTTTCGCACATGATGGTGCCGTTCTTCTCCTCCCTCCAGCGGCAGGTGAAGTCGGTCTTGCACTGCGCGCACATGTAGGGCTCGCGGCACGAGGCGGCAACGGAAGCTTTACCTGAGGGACACGACGGGGTTAGCTCGGCTACGCCTGCAGCTCCCGCAAAACGAGAACTAACCCCTTGATGGGTGGGGCGGGAACTTTATGCCTCTGCTCCATCTACATAAATTAACCTAGAACTGCATTCCTCCTTTGTTTTGAGACAGTTTCTCCAGGATATTTATCCCATTCCTGCCCGTGAACAGATTGGTAAGGAATCTGCTGAAAATCTCTCTTTTGGGAATTCAACATTGATGGCAAACAAGCAGTTGAGAGAAAGTCAACAGCTCTAGGGAGAAGTGGATGCATTTTAGAGAAATCTTTATAATTAATGCCTAACACAAAGTCAGACCATTGTGAAATTCTAGAATTGCGCAGTTAAATAAAGCAATTTAAAAATTGTCAGAGAAAGTGAATCCAACATGAGGCAGCCTATGAAAATTTAACTATGCAAAGGCTGAAGCTCTTCACCACGTGTTTTCAGCTAAGAGTCCACATGGGAAAGTTTCTCTCTTCACCTGTAAGATTTCTAATGCCGCCTCACCTTGAGTTTCCAGCAAATTCTGCACCACCTCTTCCAACCCAACCAAGTAGATGAATTCGTTATTAGCGGCACTTGGCAGGAAGTTCATCTCCGGCGCGGGCGGCTTCGGAGGAGGAATCTCGAGCAGCGTCTTCTCCAGCTGCTTCCGCAAGGCGAGCTTGGCGGCCGCCTGCCGGCTCGCGGGCGACTCGCTCGAGTTCCCCAGGGCAGCGGCGCTCGTCGTGGTGGCGTTCGCCTGCGCCGCCGTCACCGTCGTACCTTTTAGTGAGGTGGGCGACGCCTTGGGGGGAAAGTTGAACGTTTTGGTCAGGGACAGGCTCCACCTTGTTCAGCCCTTTGGAAATACTCCTGTTCTACCGAGACGGTCAAAAGGAGGGAGGACACTCGGTGTTTGCTGTGACGGGTGGGTTTTGTGAGTGCACAACGGAGACCATCTCCCGCCAAGACCTAGTTTATGCAGTCTACCAAACACATCACGATACATACGCACGCTTAGATCCTATTACAACTAATAGGGCAYCTAATCCTCTTATCCTTTTTCTAAATAATTTCACTTTCCTTCACTGATCATTTCCAGATATCGGAAATCTGGAAGGGGAGGAGGAAAAAAAAGTGTACTTTTCGTACGACTTTGCCAAAATCATTACTGTTAGTTTTARAACAAACATGTGCTTCTGCGCTGCTTTTATCTAACACTGCTTGCACGGCAACATCTTTTGGTGTTTCGAAATAGAAGTGCTAATCCATTTTGAGTTCTGTTTACTAGAGCACTCATTTTATTTATGCTTCCTAAAGAAGAAGAGAGAATATTCTGAAGGACAGTTTCGTATTGAAATAGCAAATGGGGAAAACTCAGCTTACTGATATGTGCACTTCTTCCCAATTATCTGCAATATTTTTTTCGTATTTCTGTACAGAGTGGGTGAACATAAGCACAGAAATGGTGTGTGCAGGAAGAGCAGGGTAACTGCAGTCACAAGGAACCGCAGCAATTGCCTCTGCTCACCTGTATTCTCGCATTAATGTTATATTTGGTGCAAAGCTCTGGGACTCACCTGTGGGATATTGACAAGCAGGCTGGTATTGGGGACATTGGCGACACGGATCAGACCCTGTTGTATAATTCTCTGCCCCTGAATTTGCACACTGGGGACCGATGCCCGCGGTGCCAGCAGCAGCGGAGGCGGCCCTGTGCTGGAGTGCTGTCGGATGTTGTGGATTTGCTGGGAAGACACAGAAATGGGCTGATGTGATGGTTCCATGAAGGATGGGGAGAATTAGATAGTGGGAAGTGGTGGAAGCCAGATGGGATGACACGATACAGTGGAAATGAGGCAAGGCAGGGAACGCAAAAAAGCGGGATGATTAACATCCTTGTCAAAACATGGCATTTCTCCTTCTCCCTCTGTCAAAATGAAACTAGTTCCACGAAACATCAGAAGAGATTCTTATGTTTGAGGCCATCGTACTAAGGACGAAACAGTGGCACCAAAAATCTAAAGTTTTCAAGTCGAGTTTCTTTCAGAACGTGCAGTAGTTGGGTCTGCCTCATTTTAAAGGCATTAGAAAAGCTATTGCACAGAACGAGCAGGTTCTCTACATCATTGTAACAGAAAGAAAATGAAACACCAAATGCTTTATATCTTCTTCTTCCTTAGCACTGGCTATGCAACAGATAAAAGTCGGCCTTTTACTGAAAAATAAATCCTCATTTAACAAGAAAACTTTTTTCCAYGGTGCCTCTCAGAAGTCATAACTCTAGAAGAGCACATCAAATCTCAMGCTGCACCCCTACTCCTTTAGTGACACCACTAGTTTCTCTTAGAGATGATAACAACCTCGCAAGTCAAGGACCTTCACATTTCCAACTCACTAGCTCATTTCAGCGGCTCTTTTTCAATCTGAAGACAGACACAATGAGGAAAGAAGTGAGCTTTAGCATTTTAAAAGGTGAAATTGATAAGGCAGGAAGAATAACATGCAAAAAAAAGTGAAAGAACAGTGAGTTTTATTTCCTCTGCTGCGGTTCTCCTAAGCAGCAGGTAAAGCTGGAAGTCTGTAAAGTAACTTTTATTTAAAAAATAAAACGCATCTTTTTTGGCGCAGCTAAAGGAAGAATTCTATCCCATATCACCAATCTCATGGATCACTGCAAGTGTCATGGAGCAGCAGAATGTGTAAGCATGAACTGGAATGAAGGGGGAACTATCAGCAGCATTATACCCAACTCTATTCAAGTACAATACAGAATCTTTGCGGACAAGGAGGATGACTGAAAAACACAGTTAAGAAAAGATAGAGAACAGAGTCCATCTACCATGAGGCAAACACTTACCTGTGCACCCCTGACAAGAGGTGGCATCACTATCTGCGTGTTCTGCTGAGTTCCTAGCTTTGAGGAAGTCTGCTGCCCACCACGGACCAACGGAGGAGGAATAACAGTGCCTGGTATCCGCGTAGAAGAGGTCTGCAAAACAGAAGGGAATTCACTTGTTTTCCTTTATTCTGGCATATTTATATCCATGCTTTCCTCTAGTGCGCGGCTAAGCGGTATCTGGATGTTAGGCAGCAATACGAACAGATGCAAGGATGGGACAGCGGTCTGGCTACGTGCTCAAGATCGTTCTCTCACATCCTGCACGGAATTCCAAAGGTGAAAAGCAGTTCTGAGTGACGTTTTCCACAACAGCAACAACCAACCATGGGATTCAGCAGCTCCAGGCCTGCCGTATTGCAGACATGGGAGAGGTGAGGCACAACTGCAGCCAGAGAGAGCGGGGCACGTGGAAGCGGCCCCAGGAACATCCATCTGCCTTTTGTCTCTCCTCCCTGGCTGGCGCGAGGGAGGCAATATCTATGGTGAGCCAATCGGGATCAGGAAGATGTGGAAGAGCGAGCCAGGCTGGCTCACGTTCAAAGACAAGCTTATTTATTTATATTGATTTATTTTTGCTGGGAGTAAGAGAACAGGGAATTGCAAAATGCCGTCTGCAAGGAGACCCAGGGGCCAGACAGAAGCTGGAGATGCAGGAGCCTGGGAAGGGGACTGGCCACACGGACACAAGCACGTACGGGGGAAGGAAAAGGGAGAGCGGAAAGGGGACAAGCTCAAAGAAAACAATGCAAAATAATAATAATAATAATAATAATAATAATAATAATAATAATAATAAAAAGAAAGAGAGTCAGGCTAAAGATATTTGAAAAGCTGCTGTCCATGCTTTCTGCGCTGCAGACTGCCAAGTCCTCCAAGTTCCTCAGAACGTTACAGCAGGTGATCTGGCTTCATGCACCACTTACATTGCAGCAGGTGCTAGTGCTGGGGCCCGTGGCGCGAGGAGAGCCCCGGCCCCTGCGTCCCSTTAACGGGGATTCGCGTCCCGCCGCTTCCCCGCGCCCCAACCTCACCATCAGCCATGAACTGAGGCTCCTAAACCACCAAAGCTCCCGTTTTTACTATTTATCCTACGTGTGCACGTTTAGGAACGGGAAAAACGTCACCCGTTCCTGTCAGGCCTTTTTACTAAAGACCAAATGTTAATCCCAATCCTGCGTGCGGGAATTAAAAGAGTTCTTACAGTCAAGCAAAAGCAGATGGAGATCGGGTTAATTTGCCCGAACGCTGCGAATTAAGGCAGAATGACCAGAATTGTGCATTCTGAGCTCTCTGGCCTGATCGCTCCACATACAACCAAGGTTTCTCTGCCTGTTTGCTGCAGATTTCACACGTGGTCCAGTTCCTCTGAAAGTGCTGTCTTTAGGCAACTTGCCTCAAGGAAAAGACTACTCAAAAACTAACCACTTAACTTTTGCGAATATTGCCTRAAGTGATAGCAAGGTTAACCCTTTCCCCCAAGCACTGTATTCCAGGGGAACTAAAACAAATTTAGAACATACAGCTGCAACTTCAAGCATCAAACACCATTTGAAAATATTAAGCTTTGCTTGAAATGAGCCAAAATCAAAGAAGTTCTAAACCCTGAAGTGTCATAGGTTGCCACAGTTATTTCTATGGCACTTTTTTCTATGGCACCTTTTTCTATGGCATCCATGGCACCCTTTTTGGGCCAAGGCTCTTATTATCAGCATTCCCCATGTATTTATCAGCAGGGTGGATCAGGCTCTCCAGGACAAGCTCAGCTTGTGAGAGTGACCTGCGGGTGACATCCTACTTCTATCTCCCACCCCATCAGGTTCCTCAAGAGCTTATAGCGGGGATTGCAGGAGTTAGCACTGGTTCTGCGATAAAATAAAGAAATAAAGGACAAGAAAAGTATGTTTTCCAGCTGCATCCAAGCTATTTATGTGGATGGGAGGCCTTCCCTGGGATCCGTCCTGTCCTCCAGTGCAAAGCCTGAGCCTGGCCCACCCCACTGACCTGGAGGGCCGGCTTGCCCGCAGGAACGCTCTGCGTCCCCCGCACCAAGGGCGGAGGGGTGGCCACAGCACTCCCAGAGGAACCAGCAGGCTGGAAGAGGAAAAACCAGAAAGAAAGCAGACGAGTGTAAGGCTGCAAGCAGAATTACAGAGGCTCGGGGAATTCGAGCGCTTCCCTCCTTGCGTCTCGAGCGAGAGAGGCTTCAAAGACTGCGGTTTTCCCCCGCCCCCCGCCCCTTTCTTCCTCCAAGCATCTAAACATGCGTATTTAAATGAAGACGTTATTAAGCAAGCGTAGATAAGATTACGCTACGAAATAAATAAAAGTGCCCAGACACCAAAAACACAGCAAAGCTGAAGTAGATTTCAACAGTCTCAGTTTGAAGCCTACTTCAGTCTTATCCAGCACTGCTAGTGGTCGCAACTAGCTCAATTCAAGCAGAGTCTAAAGTGAACAGTGTTTATGGAAGAGATTTCAGATAAAGAAGCTTAGAGTATGCCGTGAATTCAAACAGCCCAAGTTCACTCGTTGGACAGGCAGCAATGAACTGGTACTTGCACAGCTTTTAACTCCAGCTACTCGAATGGGTGAAAGTCCAGGAGAAAAAAACACCAAGAGAACAACCAGAAGCAACTGTAAAACATCYATCTGCAGAGCGAAGCACACTTAAATCTACAAAATCCATCGCAAAATGCATCAAGGCAGCAACGCACACTGCAAAATAAGATAGTTGGTTGCTGCTGGTCCAGACACTTGAAATTAGTCCCAAGTCTCGCGTGGGGTTTTCACACTCCTCCCTTCTCCTCCAAGCCACCTCTGTTCCTTGTGCCAGCGTGAATAGTGCAGAGAAAGTAGAGAGCCAGAGCAGGCAGCTCCTCGGGCAGAAATGGCAGATTTTTCCTGCATTTGTTTCCGACAGATCATTTTTCTCCCCATCTCTGTGTGTGTCATGGTGCAGGAGAAGGGAATTGAGGGYGGGAGGGCTGAAGTCTCCCTGCCAGGGGCTGGATTTCTGAGGGATTAAAGTGTACATCTCACCACAGGCTGACTTCACCTGGCAAGCCCTGGAATCCCCACTTGGAGGTCTGCCACGCATTATAACCAACGAAGCCATCAACTGCCAGTTCCCAGTGTTTGGGATTCAAATGCCTTAATAAATGTGCTGACAGGTCGAGTTATTTGCAAGGATCTCCTCCAAATGTGTTTTAGTGCTCTCTGTGCTGCATGGTTTTTAATACTTTGAAGTTTATTACATTCATAAACGCATCTAAGTTTCAATAAAAAGGCCTTTGGCTTTTGGACTTGGTCGCCAGCATAACCGTCTTGTCATTTGGTCTTGACAAAACAAACCAAAAAAGAAAAGAATCCCACCCAAATGAATCGTTAAGAGGAAAAGACAACAAAAAGAGGAAAAAACAACAATCTTTGTGAAGATTTCATTAAAAGTGAGATGTTTCTTAAGTGGCAGTTACAATACACTCTGTAGGCTGGTTATGGCAACTGCTAATAGTTGTTCTTCTTATTCCCATTCCAAAACACAAAACAATAAATAACCGTAGGTAAAATAAGTACCTTCTGAGTAGTGGTCTCCTTCTGGATTTGACTTTGCCGCAACTTTTTCAATAAAACAAGCTTTGCTTCTTCTAACCGTAACTCTTCTTTTAGTTGTTTGATCATTCTCTCACGCTCCTCTGGACTGCTTTTCTGCAGGGCCAGTTAAGGCAATACAACATGAGAAAAAAAAATGAGGGGGAGAGGCAAAAAGATGCAAGTTATGACAAGAACCGAGAGCAGCGCAACTGTCACGTACATCTTAATATCACTGATATGCCTGCAATACGGGCACATTARAACTAACTACAGTGAAAGAACCCTGCAAGGTAAAAGAGACTTTTGAGATTTCTTCATTAGCCAAGTGAGTAAATGAAGCAAATGCAACTCTGAAAACAAAGGCTGCGTAAGAAAAACTGCATCCACAACGTAACCTTCACCAGAAAGGCAGTTCTGGAAAAGGTGCACTTTAGAAACGGGAAAAAAAAATAGGAGGAGTTTCAAAATAAGCAATAAATAAGTGCAACATCTTTAGTAGAACTTCAAGATTCCCTGTTTTCATGTCAATCTTATGAGGCCATAAAAGTCAATCTTAGAAGGCCAGACGATGGCAGGTTTCCCTGTGGGAACAAGCGCTGTGTTTTCTCACCTCTAAAAGGCAAAATCTAAAGTCGTATCAAACCAAGCAGACTCACCATGAGCGCCTCCGTGTTGGTCTCTTTTAATGCTATTTTTGTTAAACCATTCATTCTAGGGCTAGAAGGTTCATTGTCTGATAACACTATAACATCTGGGGAGGGTACCCTCTTTTCTCTCTTTATTTCACTGTAAAGCAGAAGAAAAAGCAGAGAGAATGAGTCAATAAACAGAAAAACAAACGACTTCATGCTGCCTTGAGAGTAGTGTTGTTTACTAAACTCCTGACGCGTTAATCTTGAATCTCTTAAGTTCTGCACGTTTGATGCGAATGAAGTCCTGAAGTCGATCCCAGTCTCCTTTCCTTTTCCTAATGCAAATGTTTGCAGGCTGTGACCTCCCAAACAAGTTATTTATCAGAATCTTAAGGAAACACCAACTATTCACATGTGCCGCACTTACCTACAGCTAAGCACTTAATGACATAATCCTCTTTAAGCACCGACACTAACAGAGTCTTTTCTTTCCCGTTACTTACCAGCAGAAACCCATTACGGTCTCGACACAGAGACACCCACATCTGTGATTTTTATTGAAAACAACTGAAATGCTTCCAGATGGATATTGATTTTGACCTTGTCTTTGGCACAAGCGCTCAGTGCCTTGCGAGGTGGCTGCATCCAGCACATGGTTTCTGGACAGCGAGTCGCCCCTTGGCTCTTGTGCACGACCATGGTATGGGCACARTGTTCTGAACCACGCGGAGCAGAAGGGCCCAAGACACACGGTTTGGCACCCTAGAGCAACCTTCCTCCTGGCTGGGAGTTTTCCTGGACATTCGGCAGCCGTCCTTGTGGCCGTGGACAATGAGCAGGTCATTTGCTCAGAAAATCACGCCCGGCACCTGGATGAGGAGTAGATGCTTGTCGAGTCTTTGATGCTACGATTTGGGACAACAAATCCTATATTGGGAATATTTAGGACAAGGTGAAGAAGTGCCTCTAGAGGGCACAATGAGCCAGGAAACTTGAGCCGCTTAAACTCCAAGGAGCTTTCAAAAGTGAGAGCAGCACAGGTGAGGTATCTCAAGCTTTTACTCCATCCAAATGCACCAAAGGGGCCCAAGTACTGCAAACAGGCTGAGCTTGGTCAGGCTGAGTTCCAGCCGGCTTGGTTTTCTCTTCCCAATAGCAGCCAGCAGCAGGGGATAAGGAAGCACTGGGGTCCGAGCTGGACACTCTGGAATCCTGGCCAGGCTGGAGGTTCTTGGTAAGAAAGATTTAGAGGTAAYTGCAGAAACTTCTTGTCTTTCTTTCTCCACTTCTGCTTAGGTCACCCGTGTCCCATGGAAAGCATGGAAGGTTACGCTGCCCAAAAACCTGAGCTTCACCTAACTGCGAGGATTTGAGCCCACAGAATGTAAACTGATGTCTTTTGGGAACACTTGGGGATCCTTCCTCAGCTCCAGCCTTTAACCAGCTCCTGCTTCTGAAGGCAGGAGCTGTGCAGGGCGCCGGGCAGCCAGCACACCCCGAGACACCGCCGGCTGCTGCCACGGAGCTTTGGTGACGGATCGAGCAGCTCAGGGACACAATCTGGGAATTCCTCGTGCGCTGSAAGGACAGCGGTGGCCCTGGCCCCGTTTTGGCGTCGCACAAGTGACGTTTTGGGCTTGCTAAGCGGGTTTTCACAAACCCCGCGAGGAGCGAACGCAGCCGRTGCGAGGAGCCCTCATGGACGGCCCAACGGTGCCGCTCCTGCCAAACTCGCACGGAGCAGCACCGGGAGCGCCAGGCATTTTCCACGGGAGACGCCGCCGTCCCCCCGACGCCGCCATCCTGCGGCCGCCCCGGCCGGGCCGCGGGTCACGTGGCTCCGCCGCGCACGTGACCGCCCCGGCGAAAACCATGGCAACGGCCGGTCCCAACCGGTGGGGCCCGGCCTTCATTTTGTGAGGTGAGGTCAGGGCTCAGGTGCCCGAGAAAATGGAGCGGGCCGGCCCGGGGTGCCGCACGCCCCGAGGGCGTTTTCCTAAAACACCAAGAAATGTCAATAAAAGCCACCAGAGCCACTGTGTAGATTC